TGCCTCGTAGGCCCCCAGAGGGAGGGCCCCCAGTGCACGAGAAGCCATGCAGCAGCGAGTGCTGTTGTGCATCAGCCCTTAGGCCGGCTGCCGCCGCTCAATTGAAAACTATCATGACACAGAGAAACAATGACACAATTGGCCCACCATGCACCAGCTGCAGATGCCCACTCTGGGACGTGTGTGAAACATTCAAATGGAAAAACCCCTGGGAATGCATGCCATACAACTGGCCACTCTTGCTCCTACCATTGAGAACCAGAAAGGTCCAGAGTCAGCGGAGGAGCAGCTGCTGAACAAGGACTCGGAGAACATGAGAATGCAGACTAAGCCCGAGGAGTCAGAGGTCCTGTGGACTGGGGTCATGAGAGCCGCTTGGAAGCTGGAAACCAGAAGGACCTTGCACAATACTTGTGGAGACTCCCTGGAAGCCATTCTTCCCCTGACAGTACAGGCTGTGGTGGAGCTCCGGAGAAGTCTGCAGCAGGATTCCTGCTGCCTGTGCTGACAGCTGGGAAGAGGACACTAACTGGTTGTGGGGTCCCAATGTGATGGGAGGCTAGAGAGAAAACGCTACAAAAAATGGCTTTGGCTCCAGATGGCTCACTTGATTTTTGACAACCCTTAGGCTGTAACTACTTGGTAGATCCTTCTTGCATATCTCTGTCTTCCCGAGAAACCACTTGGAAGATACCACCATGTATTACAGCAGCCATTGATATTTTCCTACTAATTTATCCAGAACTCTGTAATGTTTGTATTGGTGGTATCTTATTTCATAAACAGATGCATGTTTATTATTATGTGTTTCCTACAACAACCATTGAGAATAGTTAATGATTATTCAATAGGTCACTCATGTATAGTTCAGTTTATTTTCTTTAGAAGGCACTTTGAAGATACCTAAGTATAGTACAACAACTACTGATAATCTCCTACCTCTTTTGTCTGTAACTCACTATCATTTGTCTATTTGTTTTCCTTAGAAACTATCTTACAGATAACCATATATAAAACAATAACCATTGATAATTTCCTACCACTTTGTCTGTAATTTGGTAAGCCCCCCCTATTATTATGTTATCCTTCTTTTACTCTTTTTTTTCCTTCTTTTACTCTTTAAAATAAAAAAAATTTAAAAAAAACAGAGACATTATATCAAGTGATATATTATTTCCTTCAACCCTACTCCCAAACAGAAGGCAGATACTTTTCTTCGCTATTGATTTTAAGGGTGGGGATTATTCCTAATGACCTATTCAACCTATTGGGTATCCTCATTTGTGTGTCAGATTTATGTTAGCTCTCTCATGCTAGGTTGGCCTTGGGTTTTTTCTCCTTTGTCTTCCCTGCACAAGGCTTACAATGCCCAGACTCCAGAGTTTCTGTGGTTTACTCACAGTGCTCAGAGTATGAAAATCAAGTTGTATGCTTTGTTTGTGTTTTTGGGTTCCAGCTTTCACTTGGCCTCTGGTGATACTTTATTTCCTTGCTAGGCTTGTAATGTACTTTCTTTTTCTGGGAGGGGTACTGGGAATCAAACTCATGACCTCAGGCTTGCCAGGTAAGCCCTTATGCCACTGAGCTATGTCCCCAGCCCTTGTACTGTACTTTAAATAATGTTGTTACATCATATCTACCATTTTGTTTCCAAAGTACCTCAGAGTGTCTAATCATCATAGTATAGGAGATGATAGGCCTATACTAAACATTTACAAATTCGTCTTTGTTTTTATTTGCCTTTAAAATTTTATTTTTCTGGGTGGGGAGAGGAAGGAGAAATTGCAGTCTGTATATGGACCCGTTTCCTAAGATGAATGTAATTATTATGTGTCAAAACATGTGCCAATAAAAATTTTATTCTTCTTTTTTAGTATTTCAGTTTTATATGTGTTTATATAAGGGTTTTATAGCTGCCAGTTTAAACAATCTGTATTTTAATATAGACTATTATAGAATAATTTTTGGTACTTCTGACAAATATAACCAATAAATATTGATTGAGTGCTTATCTTATACCAGGCAGTGTGTTAGCAATGGTAGGTGGGGGAGAAGTGAACAAAACACGAGAATCCCTGCCTGTAAGGAGCGTCAGTCTAGTACAGAAGATATAGATATGTAGGTATCAAACAGGGATGCTAAGAACAAGTAGAGATGGAGAATAACTCAAGAATAGTTTGCAAATGGACTAACACTTTTAAAGAAAATAGGCATAAGCTATGAGCTTGTCAGAAAAAACACATAAATGTTTTAAAAGTACCTAACAAAATAAGTACTATATCATGGATATTGCCATTTATTCTGTTTTCTCTGTTAAATCTCAATCTTCTCTCTTCAAAGATCTAATATCTGGAATATATAAGGAATTTAAAAAATTTGACCCACTAAATTTAAGGACCCAGTTAAAAAATGGCCATCTGAAATGAGTAGATACTTCTCAGATAAAGAAATACAAATGTCATGAGAAGCCACTTTGAAGATATCAATATGTAATACAACAACCATTGTTAATTCCCTACCACTTTGTTTGTAACTCTGTATTGTCTGTACTGTTCTTGTGATGTTGTAAAATGTTGTATGTCTGTTAATGTAGTCCTCCTTTTATTTTTAAAATTAAAAAAAAAAAAATGAAGAGATACAAGTGACCAGTAAATACACACAAAAATATTCAGCATCACTGGCCATTCAAGCAATGAAAATTAAAATAACACTAATCTCACTCCAGAAAGAATGGCTATCATCAAGAAATCACTAATAACAAATGCTGGTGAGGCTGTGGGGAGAAAGGGACCCTTCTTCATTGTTGGTGAGAGTGTAGACTGACAGCTCTATGGAAATCAGTATGGAGATTCCTCAAAAAATGAAAAGTAGAAATTCTATTTGAGGCCAGGGATATAGCTCAGTGGCACAAGCACCTGCCTGGCAAGTGCAAGGTCCTGAGTTTGATTCCCGCTACCAAAAAGAAATTGCATTTGATTCAGCTATTCCTCTTCTAGGTATCTTTCCAAACGAGTTAAAGACATCATACCATGGTGATGTATGGATACCTGTTTTTCTAGCAGTGCAACTCAAAATAGCCAAATCTTGGAAACAGCCTATATGTCCACCAATGGGTGAATGGATTTAAAAAAATGTGGTATTTATGCACAATGGAGTACTATTCTGCAGTAAGGAAGGATAAGCTTAAGTCAGTTATAGGAAAATTTCTACTTTTAATGTTTTGAGGAATCTCCATACAGACTTCCATACAGATTGTATCAGTTTACAGTGCCCCCAACAATGAAGAAGGCTTCTTTTCTCCCCACAGCCTCACCTTGATTATATAATGTTAAGTGAAGTAACTCAGACATCCAAGCTTAAATATTGTATGGTTTTTCTTGTGTTAAAAACTCAGTCAGTCTCTCTTTCTCTCTCTCAGATAGTAAGAAAGTATTATAACCTATAACATACAATGTAGCTAAAAGTATACCTTGTGCTGGGCATGGTGACACATGCCTATAATCCTGACATTTGGCAGGCTGAGGCAGGAGGATCGCAGGGAGTTTGAGGCCAGCCTACTCTACATAGTGAGTTCAAAGCCAGCCTGAACTACGTAGTGAAAGAGACCCTGTCTAAAAAAAATTATACCTTGACAGTACAGTTGTCTTACATGTTTTATATGTTCTTTGGCCCATTAGTGTGGTTTTCAAGCTGTATATATAATTAACTTTATAAGGTCTTATAAAATTAATAAATGAATCTGATGGTGGAAAAATAAAAGGAGGGTAGAGGGAGAGGAGAAAAAAAGGGAATTAAAATGTGTCGTGTGCATGCACCACTTCCCCGCAGTGAATGTGATCATTATATACTGCAAACATGCAGGACATAATAAAAGTTAAAAAAAATCTCGGTAACACAAAAGTCTCCATTTTCTGTGTTTCTTAGCGCAAACACAGTTTTGGTTCTCCAGCCAGGGAGACTGACTGACCTTGGCAAGGTTCTTACCCTCTTTTTCCCTGTATAAAATAAGACTATGGCCTAGGTCTCTGAACTGATGGACAAAACAAGGTAACGTTGGTAACCGTGCTTGACCTTTCCATGGGTGTTCACTATAGCGTAGCTTCTTTTTTTCCTTCCCGGTGCATACTGTCAGCCCTTGGTGGTGAATTGTGGTGAAAGGGTTTTTATACAGCACCGTGGAGAAAGCATATGGTAGGCAATTAACTAAGAACAAATGAAGAGAATGAGAAATTCTGACATACAAAGGAAAAACCACTTTCTGAAGTGGTTTTAACAGGAGATAAAGCCATGGCCTGTGCATTTTCCCCTGAGGGATATTTTTCATTGTATTGCACGAAGGTCAGCAGCCCCAGCAAAATTCCCTTTGTGTATGTAACATTTTGCCGTCTTCAGTGCTTGACACACTCAGCCAAGCAGAGGCGCATCACATGCAGTACATGCAGAGTCGTGTATCTGCCAAACTGGCTCTAATTCTGCAGTGTCGGTCGGTGAATTTTCGTGGATTATTAGTGTGTCTTCGAAAGTGAAGGAAATAGAAAGATGAAGGTGAAATTGCAAGATGCGTGTAGTTTGGGCTTGAATTAAGATGAAATGCTAAATTCAGAAGTCAAGTTGGACCCTAAAGTGATTCATGTTCCTCTAATGAGATTTTGTTTGCATTGAGGGCCCTGAGATGTGTTATAGTGCTGATTTTGACGGTGACTCACCGTGGGATCTCCATCTGTTTCCCCTGTTTGTATCACAAGTGATTCTTTTGTTTGTTTGTTTGTTTGTTTCTGGTACCAGGAATCAAACTCACGACCTTGCGCTTGCCAGGCAGGCGCTGTGCCGCTGAGCTAAATCCCCAGCCCCTATCACAAGTGATTCTACCTGTATTTCTTTGCCTTGTATGGCTGTTGCAATCATACAAGATCTGAGTGACATCAAAGTAAGACAAGAAGTAATGACGAACATAGGACAGTATTTACATTACATCCTCTTGTATTTCTGTCCATCCCCAGCCCTCACATTGACCATGCCCTGCTGGACGTGCCCTTCCTTTGACTCCCTGAGGAGATGCCCTCTGACCTCGGAGAGCAGCTGGACCACCCATTCCGAGGACACCAGCAGTCCTAGCATTGGCCCTTCATACACGGACCTGCAGCTCATCAGCGCAGAGGAGCGGACTAGTGGCAGAGCTTCGGGGGCTGACTCGACTGGTAAGCTAAGCGCAGAGCCGGAGCCCTTTGCAGAGCACTTTTAGAATTTCCAGGTCCTCCTCACTCCCTACAGTCAGCTTTGTTTGCAGAATGAGTTCAGGTGTAGTCACCCAGTCAAAAAGCCAGCATCCAGATTGGTTTGGAATTGCACAGGAAAATGCAACAGACTGGCTGATTGGTGGCTGATTTTTCATACGGGGAAACCATTTGACCGTATACCTTGGTGTGTTACTGTCTGACTGTTTTGGTACACATGCCGTTCCCTGCCAATTTATTTTCCCCTTGGATTACTGGGCTGTATGTAATGTGCACAAAGCTGGATCTTTCATCCTCCCTCCCACACGTTTTGCCTCTTCAGTAGGAGGGAGGTGGATTTAAGCAGAGAGGAAATAAATGTTATGTGGAGCGGAGTGAGAATCAGGATCAGCCGCCGTCTCCAGACTACAGATCATTTTGCAGTTAAATGCTTGTCCGCCTGTGCCTGAGCTGTGTGCTGGTCTGGCGTCCCACCGTGTCCTCTGTCAAGCCTTCCTATAGGCACAGGATGGAATGCTGGCTGTTTCTGCAGATAGAACATGGGCCTCCCAGCAAGCGCTGTGTTGGGAGAGAGACTTGCACATCACTGGAAAGAAGTATGTCTTGGTGCTTTGTTTGTTTGACCCAGATTTTCCTCTGAAAATGATGTTAATGCTAGCTTTTCCATGGATGAAAGGGTCCTGTGTGTCAATGATTCTTGATTTTTTTACTCAAAAATGTTGTGTAGGAGTTTGTCTCTAGACCGTTTTTCATGTTTGAATAAGATGTGCCCTCATGCTTTATGCTACTGGATTCTAGTATGAGTACATCCTTTGTACAGACCAAAAGGTTCAGATAGGATTTGGTTCGGTATTTGACAATATTGCAGGGTATGTTTGCTTGTTTGTTTGTTTTTAGAGACAGGGTCTCCCTATGCAGTTCCGACTGGTCTTGATCTCTTGGTAACCCAAGCTGACCTCAAACTTGGGGCAGTCTTCCTGCCTCAGCCTCCAAGTGTGGGGATGACAGGCGTGTTACACCACCCCCAGATTCACAAGCCATAGTGTTTTTAAATAATATTTTGTTTCACGAATGCTCCTTCAGTTTTCATTAGTCTCTGTGAGATGCTGGCCGGTGATGATATATGCCCACAACCCCCTTTCCACATGGGGATCAGCGGGAATGGGGTGGCTCCCACAGCAGCTGAGGCTCTTTAGGAAGAAGCTGCCTTTACCTCCTCACCTCTCCTTCCCCTCATTTCCAGTCCTTGCTGAAGGCATTCAGTGCATGTACTGGTTTAGAGGGCCCTGACACCAGAGGTGGACCGCTCAGGTTCAAATCCAAGCTCTGCCATATGATGGCTGTGTGACATTAGGCAGATCCTTACTTGTGTGGTTTTTTTTTTTTTTTTTTTTTTTGTGGTACGGGGGGATCACTGAGCTATGCCCCTGAGCTATATCCCTACTACAAGATCCTTTTTATTTTAAAATAATCTTGTACTGGGGATTAAATTCAGGGCCTTCACAATGTGCCAAATCTCCAGCCCCTTTTTATTTTTTTTTATTTTCAGACAGGGTTTCACTAAGTTGCTAAGATGCCCAGGCTCGGGTCAAACTTTCAGTTCTCCTACCACAGCCTCCCAGAGACTTGAGATTACTGACACACACCACCATGCCTGGCTGATCCTCCGATCCGCATGACTGAGTTTCCTCATCTGACAAGTGCAGATTATAGTTTATATCTCACGAAGTTATCATCAACTCTAAGTGAGTTGACTTATGTAGAACAATTTTACACACTGCCTGACACAGAACAAGTCTCATCAGGGATTCATTCTTCCCTTTCCTGCTGCAGGGCTGTCATTGCTTAGGGGAGGTAGAAATTGGGTCTGCACTGGAGGAAAAGTCAGGCTGTTAATTTAGTGGCCTCCACACTGCCTCATTAGGTGGAAGTAGCTTTAATACTTGCAGGTTGTAGTGGAAGTCAGAGTGGTCATCTGAAGGAGACATAATCATTGCTATTTTGTTTTGTGTATTACACTGCTGGGGGGCCTTGTGCATGCTGGCCAAGCTCTCTACCACTAAAGGTGCATCCCTGTCTCTGAGCTGGATGTTATTAATCTGTCTCCAAGTTTCTCATTGGCTTTAGTATCTCCATTTTCTAACAGTGTCATTTCACACCAACAAGACGTCCTTCCCGGTTGTTTGGGTCAGGGTCCTGGCCGAAAGCACAGGATCCCCTAGAGAGGCTTTCTGTGGAGAGTTTACTGAAAGGCCTGGTTAGAGTGGGAACAAGAGCTTGAGCCCCAGAAGAGCTGACCCAGGCGCTCCCTGGGCAGCCAGTGTGCGAGGATAACAGCTGGGCAGACGCTCCGTGAGGAGAGGGGTGATCGTACCCCAGTCCCGGCCGGTTCCCCACTGCTCCCCACAGCCCCTCCCTGTCCTCCACACAGGAGTTCTTCAGGGACCGGGCAGCCCCACAGGATTAACTGTGCAGCCTACACTACGATCAGCCTACACTTTCTTCTCATTTTCTCACCAAGGGGTTATTGGAGGAGGAAGGCAAACAAATCCCCTCACCTTGGTTAGATTACAGAGTTCATGGCAGAGCTGGAGAGGAGGATTGTTTGCTCTGGGGCTCAGCCCTCCAGGGTAAGTGGCAACAAAGTTAGGAAGAGGCAGGATCCCAAATGACACTTGCCCTTCTCTTGTCCCTCGTCTCCTCCCGGGCCTCCTTTGCTGGGCAGGACTCGTAGTCTTCACCAGGCAGAGTAGCTGTGTAAGGTCACTGACTGTATATGGGCTTGTAAACAGTGAGAGGACTGGGAGCAAAAACAAGCCTCGGGCTTTGAAGGAAGAAGAACGAGGAAGCGGACACACTCAGTGTTTGCAGTAGCACAAGCTGCGCTATCTGGTGGCCTTCAGTTTTGGTTTTCTTTCACGTACAAAACAGAGTATGTATTTAGATGTGGGCTTCAGTGCTCAAACATATGCAAAGTGAGGAGGGCCCAGACTGGATGAAGTACCCGCGAACTACATAGCGGGTATGTATGAACACTAACTGTTCACAGGTGATGAGTGAATGTGAGAGTGCAGATGAATGGTGTGAGAGTGCAGATAGCAAGAGTCATTGTATCTCAGACCTTTGTGTCCCATTTGACCTGGGTCCAGTATTTCCTAAAGTGCCCCCTGCCGCAGCCCAAGAAGACAGGAAGCAGGGCCAATGCATTAGGCCGTATTGTGCTGCCTCTGTTGGAGCCCTGTAACCCGTATCAGCGTATGAAAGACTTTGAGGAGTCCTCAAACTAGATGTACCATGTGGATATTTCTGTGCCTTTATATACATGTATTTATATAGCTATGTATAAATACATAGTTTTTCCATTAACCTATATGTCTCTCTGGGCAGGTCTCAGTAAATTTGCAAATTTTATTTGAAAATACATGCCTTCAGTAAAAAGTTGGAAAACTAAAGAACCCAGAAAAAAGTATTTTGATGCATTTGCCCAGATTTGTTATCTTTATAAAGTTAGCCCTACTTTGTCCTATTTTCTGTTAAGCTTCTTGGCTGGCCTTTTAAATTTTCTTTTTTAAAAAAGTAATCTAGCCGGGCATGGTGGTGCATGCCTGTAATCCCAGCACTTGGGAGGAGGCTGAGGCAGGAGAATCATTGTGAGTTCGAGGCCAGCCTGGGCTACAAAGTGAGCTCAAGGCTGACCTGAACTGCATAGCGAGACCCTGCCTCAAAAAGACAAAATAAATAAATAAATAAATAATCTAGATCCAGAAAGTAAAAATGATTAAGATCTGATATGTAGATGTACCAATATAAAATAAATGTAATTACATGTAATATATCACAAACATATAAAAAATAAAATTAACTTAAGAAGAAAAAAAGCTCCAGATTCAGAAAACCTAACATTGCGTTTTGCCGAAACTTTGTGTGTCAATCCTCATGGGCTTAAAACAAATTTAGACCAAATGTTCTTGATTCATTTGCATTTAACTGATCACAGCGGAATTCTGCCACCGAAGTAGGATGTCCCTAGAGCTTTGATACTAGATTTTTTTTTTTTCCTCAATAATAAGCATTTATGGCAGGTAAAAGTTATAACCTGAGAACCTTGATATTTTTTATGGCAACAATATTTTAAATATTCAGGCAGGTTCTCTTGGCGTTTTTTGTTAAGGGTAGTATGAGAACACCATCTACTCTTAGGGAAGGCTGTGTGTCTTCTTTATAAGATGTACCACACTTCCCTGTTGCCTCTTTTGTCTGAATTTTCTGGCAGTTGGTAGAGTTTAAGCCAGAATCAGGGGCTCAGATTCATAGGTAAAGAGTGATTATCATGTACAGGATGGGATTATAAGGAATTTTTGTTATTCTTAAAATAACACTGGGGATGGAATTCAGAGACACTTTGCCACTGAGCTACATTCCCAACCTTTTTCTTTCTCATTCTTCCTCTCCCTCTCTCTCTCTGTCCCTCTCCCTCCTTCCCTCTCTCTCTCTCTCTTCCTTCCTTCTTTCTTTTCCTTTCCTTTCCTTTCCTTTCCTTTCCTTTCCTTTCCTTTCCTTTCCTTTCCTTTCCTTTCCTTTCCTTTCCTTTCCTTTCCTTTCCTTCTTTCCTTTCCTTTCTTTTCTTTTCTTTTCTTTTCTTTTCTTTTCTTTTCTTTTCTTTTCTTTTCTTTTCTTTTCTTTCTTTCTTCTTTCTTTTGGCAGGGTCTTACTAAGTTGCCCAGGATGGGCGTGATTTTTGAGATCCTCCTCATTCAACCTCCTAGGTACCTGGGATCACAGGGGTATTACACCGCATCCAGCTACAATCTCTTAAAAAAGTGTATGTTACCATCCCATTTTATAGATTCAGAAATAACAACTAAAAATGTTAAATGACTTGGCCAAAGTCACATAGCTAAAAAGGGTAGAGTTGGATTCAAGCCAAGTCTAACTCCTCAGCTCATCCTGCCCTGTGCGTGGGG